GGCTTCATGTTTTACTTAACCTTTTAGGTTTAGATCAACTCCTATTTTATTAGTCTAAGACGTGGTTCTAAGCTTTCACATGGCGATTATTTGCCTATCCTTAGAGGATAGTTTTTCCCTATTAATTTCCCCTCTTATAATATCTATTCCCGAATTTTATGTTTGTTAATGTGCAAATATTTTCAAGTCTCTCATGAATTGTGATTTTTATTGGAAATGCTTTAAGATGCATTTTAAAGTCCTGTGGTTCACAATTGGCCGAATTGCAAGTTTATTTTTTTCATAAAATTAATACAAACTAAAGATTACGCATCCTGCAAGGTTAGTTGTTCTGTAAAATTGCGCTATTTATAAATCGTGACTGAAATATATTAGGCAAATCTTTTAGTGTTGGTTTCTAATTTGTCCGAGAAATAATTTCATTTTTTCTTGCGCGAATAATTATTTAATCTAATTCGTTTATAATTAAGGTTTCAAGACTATCAATATAATCTTTTCACAAGGCTGTGGCGAGATGTTCTCTATCGCGAATATCAACTTGGTGTTGGCAGACTCATCATCAATCCAACCAGAAGCTAGTAGAAACTCTTATATATCAACACTAAAATCTTTTATTAAAAATTTATATTCATAGCTTTTAAATTATCATATTTAAAGCTTTATTCAGCTATTCACATCTGTCCATTTTAGACACCATTCATTTGCACTAGCAATATTTCTGAGTTTAAAAGAAAATAATAGTTAATTTTATCACATTCTCGCTTCAAATCGAAATTTGGACAAGCCCGTTTTCCTTGAAAGCCACTCTTTAACTCACTGTTTATCGGGATGTATGGACGAGTCACATTGAAGACGCTGGGAGGACCAAGGAATAGTTATAACTGCAGTCCGCTCTGGATGGAAAAGTTCTTCGGGAAGCAAGGTTGGGTTAAATTCAAGGACAGCCATATCAGAAGTTTGTTTTAATAGAAATTCCTTGGCCAAGTACAATAATTAACTTTATTATTGTAAGATAGCATTGGTATGATTGAAATACTCTATCTTCTCTACTACTTCACAAACAATTAGAGCATTCATTCCTCTTTTCATTTCATCTTCTCTGATACTGATGCTTAAAGATTCGTCTAAATTTGATATCGAATCTGGATCACGTTAATGAGGTAATCGGTGTCGAGCATCTCGCCAATAGTCTTCTGCCGGCCATCGTGCACCTCTCAAAGGACCCCAAATGGCGTGTACGTTTGGCCATTATTCAGTACATGCCTCTATTGGCCGATCAGCTTGGCGTTGCTTTCTTTTCAGTGGATCAGTTGACATTGCTCTGTCTCACCTGGCTGGTAGATCAGGTGTATGCGATCAGAGAGGCGGCCGTTGAGAATTTGGCCCGGCTGGCCAAAAAGTTTGGCAGCAGTTGGACCCAAGAAACAATTCTTCCCAAGGTGAGAAAGGAACACTTCATGATTTCCTAACCATATTTCATTTTATACCTTATTCATTTTTCTCTAAACATACTTTTTCAAGTCCTTTATTTTGCATTGGGCTGCTAAAGCATTTTTTTATATTTAATTTTTTAAATGATACTGATAGTTACCTTTACTCTTTTCAAATTTATTTTGAGCGAGCCTAACTCAATTATCTTTGTCCAATTTATATATCTTTCACTTTCTGTATATTGGCATGCGCTACGCCTTCAATGAATGAAGATTTAATATGGGTTTTTATGAATACTAACTACTATGGCTATGATAAATGGAAGAGAAAGTTTCGTTTCTGAGTAAACTTTCACTACGCCATTCATTTCATACGGCAATTCACATTCTGAAAGAATTTTAGTTTTTATCTGGCCTTGCTTCTTAATCAGGGATTCATTAAGATTTCGATAATCAATGCGTTGCTTGCTAGCATGGCTTTTAAGACAAACCAAGCCTCATTCAACCAGATAGGCCCTAAAAAGCATTGTAGTTCATAAACTCAATCAAGCATCGAATTGATTCACCAAATAGATGCATCAGACATAAGGTTTCAAAAGCTGATTATAATCTCATTTGAACTACTTTAATCTCTGCGAAGAAAAGTTGGGTTTCGAGGAATCTCTTGTTTCATAAATGTTGAGCCTACTTCTATTTCGAATGAAAGTGTTAGGTCAAGAGATTCGAAGGTCGGTTCTACTAGAAAACGACAGCGGATTCTTCTTGACCAGTTGTCGATTAGCTTTATTGGAAGATTCATGCTGACGCTGTTTCCGAGGTAATCTCCTTCGATTCCGATGAAAAGGTGCCAAGCTTTCGCTCGTCATATGACGAGCAAGGTATAATCGTCGCAATAAAACTCAAGCTAACGAGTCAAGAATCGAAGTGATGGTTATAAGATGCATGCAGAAGGGGGGAGACAGTGGTCACCAAACCTTTATGGCCGAGAATAGTCATTACTTTTGGTGTCCTAATTACTTTGAGCCATCACTGCGGGTTTCGTGCATAAGCGAACACAAACAGGCACATACACATACACATACAGAGACAGACACACTCACAAGCTTCGAAGTTGACATATGACCGTAATCAACCAAATCACTTAATACCTGACTAAAGAGACAAGATGTAGAATTTATATATCGCTTTTTAGGGATTTGCCAGTGAGTTTTCTTGACTCGTTAGCTTGAATTTTGTTGTGACGGTGTTACCTCGCTCTGATGATGTTCGTCATATGACGGACAAAAGCTTAGCACCTTTTTATCGGAATCGAGGGAGATTACCTCGAAAACAGCGTCATCATGAATCTTTCAGTAAAGCCAATCGACAGTTGGTCAAGAGAAATCCGCCATCGTCTTCTGGTAGAACCGACCTTCGAATCTCTTCACCCAACGATTTCACTCGAAATGGAAGTAAGCTAAACAATTTCTTTAATCTCCTTTTAATAATTTCTTTTATTATTAACCCGGCTTTCAGCTTAATTAACCCTGCAATTCATCAAACATGGCGTTAAGGAAAAGCAGATTATAATAATCATTTTTTTATTTGATCAATTTCCTTTTTACCTTCTATTTGAATTAGTAATTTAGATTCTTGTTATTTTTAAAATGCACAATCAGTAGGATTTCACCATTTATTGAGCAATCGATCTACGTCCCTATATGTGGTGCAATTTTCCGGGCTTTCTTAGTTTGTTAAATCTAAACAAAATTATTTTTGGCAGCCAAAATGAGTGCGGCTCAATTATCTCTGCCTATCCTGGATAAACTAACAAAATCACCTACGACCTAATTATTAGGATATACTTGTATACAATAGATGCATCTCTTTAAAAATAGGATTTTATTAGTTCTGCTAAGTATAGCAGCCGAATAGCGATGCATTTATTTCCTGTTACATTGGATATTGATGCAAGATATATTTCTTATACTATTTTTTACCGTTTGTGATCTGGACTTTTAATTATTATGATAACATTATTTCTCTTTTTCAGTCTTTTTACGTCCTTTGTCGTCTTATACATATTAATGCCTTCGTATTAGTAATGCGCTGTTTTTTACCCGAAGATATGAGGACCAAGATTGTGTGGCCTTTTGTGTGATCGCAGTCTCCTTTCGTTGGATAGAAGTTGTTTGACCTTGTTTTCGTGACTCAGTCATATTGGTAGGAAGAATTAGAGGAACGCACCTAGTCAGGAGTCCATTATATGCATGATAATTTCCAAAGTAGGACCGTGGTACATTCCCAGACATTTCGCCAGTATCGTTATCGGCATAAACAGTGAATCTTGCCATTCTTAGCACCACAATACATTTCGTCAAAGAGACAAGTGAAGCCGATCATTTGACCAAATGTGTGCTAAACGGTTGTATCTCTCCTGTCATGAGCTATTCACCTATCCTATATCCTCGTATCACTCCTTCACTTTAACAATTTTTTCCTTGCTAATTTAAATGTAGTGTTGTGTGTCCTTTGAGTGACTTTCATGAGGACCCTCCACACCCCCTTCACCCTTGTGCTGGGAATGTTGATCAGAGTCTGCCATATTGCTATGCAGTCCTCTTTTTCTAGGTCCTATCAGAGTCTCCCTCTTGCCCCGTAGGATACGTCTGCTATCTCCTGGTTCAAGTATTTCACTCAATCCATGCCACCCCATCTGTGCTCCCCGAGGCGTTATTTACCACATTCTGTGTCTGCTAGACTAACCCCGAGTGATTCTCATGGTCAAGCCTTTGCTTCATGGAACACATCTATGATAAAGCAGGCCTACTGTCAGCCAACTAGCTCTAGTCTCCGCCACCTCTATCCAGTTTCTATCCGTAATACCAAGTCTATGGATTGCTATTCCCTAGTCTCTTGTGTGCCAACTCACAAATGTTGTGGTACTGCTTGCTTTGATTAGGTTCAATGTTGCTCTGTTTTTTTTAGTTTATGCTATTTCTAAAAACGTAAAATAAGCCTACTTTTATTTTTCGGATGTATGAAGTTAATTCTTTTTTACCGAAATCTTTTTCCATACTTAGGTTCTTGCGCTTTCTCGACACGGTAACTACCTATACAGAATGATCTGCTTGCAAAGCATCATCAGCCTTTCTGGCGTCCTCGACGCAGAGCTTTGTCAAAATCATCTGCTTCCGACCGCTTTGGCGATGCATAATGACGGAGTCCCAAATGTCCGCTTCAAGGTGAGCGCTAAACTTGTCTAGTCCCCATAATAACCTGTCTTTAATTTGCTAGAAGGACATTAAGTAATCCGTTTTGTCTTATTTTACAGCGCCAGTAACACGTTTATGCATTGCTCCTTATTCATCCTAATAAAATAAGATGGATTGGTATATATATATATATATATGCTTATTTCTATAGAAGTTGTTTCACCTTGTTTTGGCTAATCGGTCATAATGTCAGGACGACCTAGTGGATCTCATCTTGTCAGGAGTCCATAGCATGCATAATACTTTCCAGAGTCGGACCATGGACTTGGTACATTACCAGACGTACCGCGACCATACTAATGGCCACACAATCTTGGTCTTCATACCCTATTTTTATACTTTTGATACTATTTTATATCGATTTACTTTTGATCCTGGCTTGTTATCTAAACTGGAGACAAAATTTTGATAGTTGTATGCATGTAATGCATTAGTATGGTTAATATCCTATCTTTATTATCTCAGTGAAATGCTTAATCCAACTTTTCTGCCAGTTGTTTGTTACTAATAGGTCTAAAATTCCTTACCCTTTTTAACTTTGGTCAATATTACCAGCAGGTTACAAAAACTTTGTAATTTTTTTGTTGGATCAGAAAAATTTCATGGAAAAATGTTTAGAACCCCGTCACTCATTTCTAGTATGCTCTTTATTCGGATGACGTTTAGCTAAAACAGACTTGCGTTCTAATTTTGCAAAGCTACTTTTATGATAACTCAGGCGCCATTGATTGGTGGCATGACTATTGATTCTCATGGCAGGACATACCTCCTCTAACTCTACTTTATTGCACGCATGGGGGCCGTTAAAGCAAACTTGAATGTTATATTTAACTTAAGACTGGTACATGATAAAATTCATTTTGTTTGCCATTCTCAGTAGACTTATCTGATTACGATGGTCATGTAAGCTCCATTGGTTGTACAAGTTCCGATATGTCACATCTTATTTTATCCAGGGTGCCTAAGTTTTAGCTTTCGGATCACTAAAGTGACCCACAGTGGACATCGTTCTCCCTAAGGGATTTCATTCCCTAAATGTCACATAAGGCCAAAATACCTCAAGGTTTACTTACATGTACTTGTGTGTATATGTGGCTACTTATTCACTTATATACTTATATAATTCGAAAAGGGCTGGTATGCGAAATCAAAAAAAATGCTGTTTGTTTATTTATATATATATATATATATATATGTGCCACAGGGCTGAAATACAAGCAAGGCCGCTCTACTTTTAGTGGAATCTTCCGAGGCAAATTCGTATTTTGACTTTACCACCGACTACTTTACCTAAATTAATAATTAGTAGATTTAGAAATTATCAGTAGGTACGACTTGCTATGCTACTCGTTGGCACTTGAGACATTGTGGCATAGTAAAATATTTAAATTATACTCTATGCTACCCAGGTCAAATTCCCATTAGTCGTGATGGGGAGGCCCAGGAGAGCTAGAAACTGCAGTCTACTCTGGGTGAGAATACTCTTTATAAAGCAAGATATTGTGAATCTTACCTGTATCGGTGTGAAAAAATTCATCTATAAACTCTTCTTCACTTTATGTAATCTAGGGTGGCTAAAGCTCTTAATCGCTATATTTTCTTAGTTGCTTCATCACCCGGTCTTCCTTAGGATTGAGAGAAATAACTTGTTTCGTAATGTTCAAGTGATGGACTTCATAAGCATTTCAAGCTTTATACTGTGAATTATAGCTGCAGAGTGAATTTAGTATTTTATATATGCTAGCCTTTATAATAATTGCCACGATCTAGTATCACTCATTAAATCAATAGTATTTTTTAATGAAGTTCTTTGACCTTGTTTTCGCAACTTGGTCATATTGGTATAAAGACTTAGAGGAACGCACCTAGTCCAGAATCCGTTGTATGCATGATCATTTGCTGAGTAGGACCGTGGACGTGGTACTTTCCAAGACGTTTCGCCGGTATCGTCAGTGAGTCTCGCCATTCGTAGCATCATAATACAGTTCGTCAGAGAGACAAGTGAAGCCCATCCTTTGACCAAAAGTGTCCTAAACCGTTGTGGTATCTCCCCTTCTGTCCTGGGATATTCAAATTTCCTATATCCTCCTATCACGCCTTCACTCTCAAAATTTTTACCGTGCTTATTTTGATGTAGTGTGGTGTGCTCCTTCGAGCGGCATTCATGAAAATCCTTCAC